TACTGATCGGCCAGGACGATATGCCTATCGTCCTGGACGATAATGTCGACAACTTGCATTAATGAGCTCGTTTTGAGAGCTTCTATTTAAGCTATGGCATGGCAACTTTTGTAAGAGTCTTTGGCAGCCATTGTAGCTTCGTTCTTGTGGGGGAAACTTGAAGAGAGAGATTGAAATGGAGAGAGGAAAGGGTGGAGTTTGAGAGGGAGAAGATCCTGTGAGGGGGAGGAACTTAAGGGAGTGTGGTGGGGGATCCACACGGTTGCTCCGGCGAACTCGCACCTTAGTACCATCGGATTCAAGGCTTGTCTCGAGGTAAGTTCACCAAAGAAGAAGATCTCTTTGGTGTCAAAGGACCCGGCGACTCCGCCACACCGGGGAAGGTGGAAGTGATTTTGTAAGGGCTTCTTCGCCTAGTTGTGGGGGCTAAAGGAGAGTCACGATTTTAGTGCAATACTTGGAAGGTGCCTCCAAGGAGTGGACGTAGGTCAAGGTTTGACCGAACCACTATAAATCCGGTGTGTTCTTTTCTTATTATCGCTTCCGCATTTATTTTAATTTCCGCACTTTGTTTATGGTGATTTTGGTTGGAGTTTTATCTTTGATTTTATAGTTTTTCAATTCACCTCTCTCTTGATTAGCTTGGGCCAGTTCTATAGGGCTTAACATCCCTAACGAACTTTCACAAGGAAATTGTTATCAATCATGTTTGATAAAGTGTTCATCACAATACAAAATAAGGAGATAAGGAATAGCCTTGACGAAGATTGGAGGAAGAATTAAAGAAACCTTCCAAAGAATAATTTAGAGCAATATAGAAAAAAGTTTCCTCAATACAATCTTTAATCCAACTTACAAATTTTTTAGAGAACCCTTTATGAGTCATTCTAGTTAAGAGAAAATCTCTATAAACAATATCAAAAAATTTATTACTATCAATCTCAGCACATAAATATTTAACTTTTCCAATGTTAAAATCTCTCAGTATTTTAGAATCTAATAAAATATTTGAAATTCTCTTCTTTATAAACCCAAATTGACTAATATGAATAATATAAGGCATAACAATTTACATTATATTAGCCAAAATTTTAAATATTATTTTATAAAAAATATTACATAAAGAAATAGACCTAAAATAAAAAATTTGAGAAGCGTGTGAGCATTTCAAATAAGAACAATAGCAGTAGCTTTGGTAGCTCTAGTCCTTTTTCCAAAAGAAAAATAATGAAAAATAGCCTTACTAAATGTACGTCCAACAATGTCCCAAACATTTTTAAAGAATTCAAAAGTATAGCCATCTGGCCCAGAGAGAAAATAAAATTTTAAATTTCATCTATAAGGATAGGAGATGGAAGACTTGAAATAGCCAAAATAGGAAAAGTGTTACCCACCATAATAGCAAATTTAGAAGCTAAAGATGACGTACGAGAGTTAAAAAACCTTTTAAAATGTTAAACAAAGGCATCCAAAATACCCTTAGAATCAGAAATCAAACCATATGAGGAATAAATAGCTTAATATTATTTCTATTCTATCTACTATGAATCTTAGAATAAAGAAAACTCAAATGATCTTCACCATTTGCAAGCCATCTAGCTTTCGATCTCTGAATAAGCCAAGAAGCCTATAAGGATTGATAATGAACCAAAAGAGCATTAACCTCTTTAAAATCTGAGTTCAGCTTAATATCCAATGCATTATTTTGAATTTCCTACAAAAACCTTTTTTGATCCATCTATAAAACAGTCAAGTTACTAGAAATAAAATTAGAAGAAACCTACAACTAACTTTTAATATAACCTTTAAATTTATTCAATCGATTATAAAGATCATAAATTGGACTACCAACAATAGGCAAAGTAAAAGATTCAATAAGTAAATCCAAAAAATAATATTAGAATACCAATAATTTTTTAAAATAAATTGATGCTTCAGATTAGCCATTGTATTATTAAAGAGAATCGGCAAGCTATGATTAGAACACCTTGGCTTATCCACATCATAGTAAGAAGCATAAATTTCATCCAACCAATACTTATTTACCAAGATTCTATCAAGCTTAATGTGAATTGGGCAATCACTTATTTGATTGAACCAAGTATAAAAATAACCAACAAAAGAAAGGTCATGAACCCCTATATTAAAAAAGAGAACATTAAAATCTCATAACATGTTATTAGGGAGAAATTACCTCCAGATTTTTCATTAGAAAATCTAAAATAATTGAAATCACGAAGCAACATCCAAGGAGAAAAGATATTAGTGGACAAATTAAGAATATCATTCCTCAAAATCTACCAATCAACATGATTATTTGAAGCATAAGTCAAAGTGATATAAAAGGAGTAAGCAAAGCTCGCGTTTAAACAATCATGAATCAACTAGTCAATTGAAAAAAATAAGAGAAAAAGAAACATATGAAACATTCCGTTTAATCTAAATTCTCCCAGGATCAGAAAAAATAAAGTTATTGCAACTATCTTCATTATAACAAATCCTATGCCTAGCAGAGAACCAGGGATCCTTACCAAAGCCAAATAAATTTTATATTCAATGATACAAATCGGATCCACACTATAAGAACTCACAAGATCTTTACAAGAATTAACTTTATCAAGACTATTAAAGCCTCTAACATTCCAGGACGACATATTTGGAAAAACATAATTATTTAGATGAAGAATGGGTAGCCTTCCTAGCAGTTTTAGTTATTGGCAACTTACTTGAAGCTGTGGGCTGTTTTAAAATCATCTGATTATTAGAATCAGAATTAGAATCTTTTAAAACCTTACTCAAGTTATCTTTTAAAAAAGAATGACGAGAACCATCATCTTGATTCAAAAGATCTTTTGACACTTCAGATTGCAATACAAGAAACTTATTTTTATTGTGCAAATCAAAATTATTATTGCTAGTAACAATATCAGAACCAGGAAATGCTGAAGGCAAAACCACAACAGGTGAAGAATATGTAGGAGAATTCAAGTTAGGAATAACAACATTCATAGCTTCAATAGCTAAAATTTGAACATCCAAAGAATCTGATCCATCTGACTTGTTACTTATCAGCTTATTTTTAAAAGAAGAAATATAAATTTAAGAAAAACTAGATGAGTCACGCTTAGCCACCCAACTTCTACTTCTATTCCTAAACATTTTATTCTCAACTGGAAAATTAGCAGAAGACTTCCAAGAAATCCTACTTCTAGTTGTACCATGAGGTTGAACAGTCTCTTTTTCCTTGACTATTTTATCATTCTCTTGATCCACATGAGAAACCTTAGGTTGAGAGGGACAAACATAAAAAGGATGAACAATCAACCCACAATCGGAACAATGAGTCGGTTTCCAATCATAAATCACTTTCAAACTAATAATAGTACGAGTAATAGAAACATTAACCTCATCAGGAAGAGGAGATTACGTATTAACCAACACACATACTTGAGAAAAAGTGAGACACAATTGCTCCACAGTAAGTGTAATAACTGCTATCGGCACCCCAACTAAACTAACAATTTTAGAAATCCCTTATGAGGTCCAACAAACTAAAGGAAGATCCACAATTTTAGTGCATATAGGAATCAGTGATAATTCTTCCCTCTTATGGCTAAAAAGAGGAGATCATTTTTGAATAATAAACGGTCGATCAAAAAAAAAAAAAACAACGATTCTCCTGTCCAGACAAGATCATAATATTTTGGACAATAGAATTTCAAAAAAAAAGAAACCATCATTTAAGGATAGAAACTAGAACATATCTTTTAACATTCAAGCTTTTGTCATAACAGAACGAAGAACCTCAGAAAGGTCTCTTACCTAATGAGCTAACAACCCATGTGCACATCAGAAGAGAAGATAGACGAAGGCAACAGAAGAAGTGTAACAGAAGAGCAAGAAGGCAAAACAAGAAACCGAAGATACGAATATAGCCGCAAATCAGAGCAACGACAGCCACATGTTTTTAAACCATTCTCAGCCACATATGACACGTCAGCTATGTAAATATTAGTCTCTAAATACCCATGTAAACTCATGTATTACTCGTTGAAGTGAATGAGAAGAAATTCAAGAAATCATTCTTACGTACCTCTCTAGAATTTCTTTCTTGAGCAACCTAGTAGAGTTAATCCCCAATTTGTTGGAAACCTTATTGACCTCATCCTCTGAAAACATCACCAAATTATCCTTCTAAGACAAGAAGGAAACCGAAAACTCTTTTGCAGAAGAAACTCGCCCAATTCAACTATTTAAAACTTCCGACATCTTTAAAGGTGAGAAAAATCTTTCAATAAATCCATAGAAAAGAAATAGGTAGAAATGAGAAAATAAAAAAGAAGAACCGCGGACCGCCTGCTCCCGGCGGGAGACAATCATCATTATTCCGGAATCTGCGGTACGCGCTAAATGGCTCGTGCCACTGGGCAAATTATTGGGTCAGGTGATCGAACGCAGAGATAGGTTCGGATAATAATAAAATATTATTTTAAAATTAGCGCAACTAAAGCGCAACTAAAGCGCAACCAAAGCGCAACTAAAGCGCAACCAAAGCGCAACTAAAGCGCAAGTCAAAAAGCGCAACTAAAGCGCAACCAAAGCGCAACTAAAGCGCAACCAAAGCGCAACTAAAGCGCAAGTCAAAAAGTGCAACTAAAGCGCAAGGTGACGCGGCAAATTTTTATTGGCTGTCCGAACTTATCTTTTGGCTCCGGTCACCTGACCCAATAATTTGCCGTGCCACGGAGGGCTAACAGAAATTAGTACGGTAAGACGGTAAGCAATAACCCACCATCACTGTTAATCTCGTTGCTCAAAATCCCGTTATCGACATGGGAGCCAAGGGGGTAACGGGATCGCACCGTTACCTGATTCTAATGACGCCGATCGGACGGTTACAGTGATTCAAGAAACAAATCCATCGTGATTAACAGCGTGATTAATGAGCCGCTCGAGACGGAACTACGTGCCACGTGTGAGCAGTGTTGCGGTAGGTTGATGCGGGCCGGGCCTACATGGGCTCCCACCGGGCTCAGTCATGGGCCGCCACAATTCATCATAGATTTGTCGATCTCATCCGCGCCGTTGCTTTCCCGCTTCAGTCTCTCTTCTCCATCGCCCAGCCTCCGGAAATTGTTTCTATAAAATACCTCCGACACTCCGCTGTTCGCTGTCGGACCTCGTCGGCTCCATTCTCCGTTAGGTTTGTAGGATTTGGACTCTGGACTTTGGGTCGGATAATGGCTGCGAGCTCCAGAGGCTTTGCGCCGCAGCCATTAGGCTTTAGAATTAGGAGGGTGAGAGCTTTCCCTCCGCTGCAAGGCCCGCGAACGCTAGAGTTACGAAGAAGGAAAGTTCAAGAAGGGATCCTATACTGTTGCTCGGACTCGGAGATTCGCAAACTTACGCAGCGGAAGAGCCCTGCCGATACGCTCGAGGAGTGGCGACGGATGGAGCTGAAGAACAGCCCCAGGAGATTCCGGGCGAGAGCTATGCCGGCCACGCCCTTATCTTTCGCAAGGTTCTTCATCGTCTTCTTCTTCTCTTTATCTCTCTTTATTTCGCTTTCTGTTTACTTCCGACATGATTAGGTAGTTCTTTTATCGATCGCTTTGTTCATGAATTTCTCTTTAAATTATTCTCTCCTATGTACATTTTAGTGGTTTTATTGATCATACGTGAAAGCTAGGGTCTTCATGGTAGGCCTGGTGAGTGATAGGAATTGGAGATTTGATGTTAAAAAAAGGCGATTTTTTTTTCCGACTGGAATTAGGGACGTTTTAATGATGACATCCAGCCTACCCCGTCTTCGAGAGCTGGTTCAGAGCACTATGTTACAGATCACTTGGTGAGCTTAGTTGAATAAACAAAACACTAATTTAATTTCATGGTTTGGTGGTTGAGGAACCCATCGTTTTTTGAAGATTGTTGGGTTGGGTTATTCCCTGAACGGACTTATAAGAAGCTTTTGATACTAAATCACAATGTGGTTGAGATAAGAGATAATTCATGGAACAGAAGTAAGCTGAAATGCTTGGCTTTTCACAGAAAAAAGTGTTAAATGGTAATAGAGATGATAGTACACCAGAATACTTAATAATAGGCTCTGTAATTCGTGGAAACTGACTGTTTTCTACTTGAAAGTTGAAATCCATGAAAAATTAAGGCATCAACCTGAAATTAGGAACTATATTCACAAAATGTACTTGTCATTCCAAATGTTTATTTAGAAATGTCTGATAAGGCATTTGATATGTCCTTTCATCTCTTATCATCTGGATTGATTTTAGTTATCTGGTCAAATAACCTTTCATACAGAAGGAATCTACTCACCTTTCAGATTGTGATGACCAGTGCACTATATTACCATGCAAGGAAACTTTTGATGCTTTCATAGACCTATGTTGCTAAGGTCATATTCTATGTTTTGAATGTTCTCCACGTTTACTGCTAAACACTTTTTGAAATTTCGAGTGCAGAAGCTATAGGGTCTTCCTTCCTAATAGTAAAATCGATTCTTCTCTGTTGATTTCCTTTTCTATGCATTCCAAGTTATGTATTTTTTACGAAATTTAGTAACATATCAGCGGATTTAGCACCCTACTGTGTATTAATCATTTATTTAAGAAAAATAACTATGTAATCGTCAATATTCTCTTAGTATCAACTGTGGAATATTTTGGGAGATATTTTTTGGTACATTGATGGATAAATCTTCTTTCTCTGTGATCTTTGATTGATATTATGTTTTTATTTTGGTGCTTTTGATGTGCTTTCTTATTATTTTTGTAGGTCGAAAGGGCTTTCTAAGCAGAAAGACTTTTATCCTCGATGCAACAACCCAAAGAACAATGCTCCTCAATCTCGTGATACTCCACCTGAAAGAGGTTTGTTCAACTATTGAATAATGATGCAATGGACCTTTCTTATCTTTTATTAGCTTAATCCCTAAATTATAATACCAATGCTATATGCTTTGTATGAGAAATTCATTTTTGAAACGAGTCATCTTCTGTAAACCGTATCATGTGCAGTTTAATGCATTAACATGGAAAAAATATAAGACATGTAAACTACTCTAGTTTGGCTTTCTGCTCACTCTACTTGTAATTTCTAAGTACGCATATTTTTTTTTTTTGAAATCTCTCTTATAGACACTGGTATTGGTAGTGAAAAGGATTGGGGAATCAACTTGTTGGATGAGCATGTTAATGAATCTGGCATTAATCAGGATGGTAGTACATGGTATCAAGAAAGTGGAGAAGAACGTGGAGATAATGGCTACAAGTGCCGATGGAACAAAATGGGCGGCCAATCTCATGACGGTTCTTCAGAATGGAAAGAAAATGTATGGTTTAACTTCTATAATTCAAAGTTGATAATCGATTTTCTTGTATTTTTTGTCCTATACGAAGTACTTCTCATCTACATTAGGAAAAATTGTGAACAGACAAAGTTTTTAGTAATAGAATGTCATTTTTGTTATGAACATTGAACTATAAAAGGCATTGCTTCACTTCCCAACCATCCTGGGGGTGGGAATCCAAGACTTTTTTGTTTCAGTATTTATATTAATTGAATCTATTGGTTATGATTTTGGTTTTCTTGTTTAATTGCTTTCTTAAACCTAACTACGAAAATAAGTTCCTCTTCCCTGTGCATAGCCCTTCCTCCTTTCCTTTTATGTTATTAAATAATGGATGCCAAGCATACAATAGAACTCAATCGGAGATTTCAGTATGAAAGATCAAAGAAGAACTAGTTATTATGGAATATCAATTAGGATAATTATGGAAGGGCATTTTTAGTTTTTCTTGCCCTATTATATTAAGATTCCCAAGGAAATTATATTTGGGCTTGAAGTTACTTGAACAAATGCAATATGATAATCATTTAGTTTATTTGTGCTTGTAATATGATTGCATGTTTTGTATATATATATATATATATATATATATATACAACTTATATGTATTATATTAAAAAAAATATTATAAAAATATTCTAGAAACCTATTGAAGTGACTTTGAAATGGAGGGAGATGCAATGATCTTTTTTGGAATAGTACGTGTAGAATTAAAGTCATGTTAATAGAAGTTAAAACTAACGTTGTAGCAATTTTTTTAGCTCTTGCTTATTTTTTTCTCAAAAAAATTCTCCTCAACCCTACCTAGTGACTTTGTTTTATGGCAGATTTACTTAGACAGGTCAATTTGGCTTCATAATATTGATTGTGCCTTTGGTGGCATGGGCAGCTCGGCTATTCAATCTGTATAATTAAATTTCATTGTAAACATTACTTCCCTTAAGCTTGCTCTAATTTACATATGCTTTATCAATTAAAATTTTTAGATCTCTAATAATACTTGTTTATCTCATGTTTCCCAACCACTTTTCTTATTCATGTCCCTTTCATTATGCATTCATAAGAAATTTAGGGGCACATTTAATGCATCTAGTATGGAGAAAAGTGATAAGGATTTAATGAGTTACCATAATTATACAAAAAAGTATGAGCCGCTCATTGATTTTTTTTATTTAAAACTTCAATTCTCAAACAACAATACTAAGTGGGAGAATCTTAACACCCTAAAAATGTATGTATGTCGGTTTGTGCTTATGTAGGATAAGTAGGTGTTCAGACTAGAACCTAACCTTTGGCATAGTTTTATATGAGTATTTTTATAGGTGATGTCTATGAATATTTACCATATTACATAAAAAGGCTTCTAGGAATTTGTTTTCATGCATGCATTTTCTGCATTTAAATTATATTTTATCAGGTATGTTAAAACTCAAGCGTGAACTCATCATGAACAAGAATGATGCAACAAGAAAGTAAAACACGAAAGTGAGCAATTAAGAACTAACAAAAAAATAATAAATTTTATGTAATTTGGCTCCAAACATGTCTACATTCATGGGAAAGAACAGAGGATTCAATCTACTAGACACACAAAAGCCACAATAATAGTTAGTGTACACAATAAAGGAACACCTACCAATGCCTTTCTAAAACCTAGGCACACTATACTCAATCAAAAAAGAAGCCCAAAGAAAAATCTGAATTACAAGATTACCTCCTAAAAAGATACCGACATCGAAGAAAAAATAGCCCAGAACGTAGATGCTTCTTGTCAATGTTGAACTCTACAACAACTGTCATTAGAGAATTCAAATAAGGTGATCATCTTCTTCATGCATTCCACGAACCCCCATCGGATAAGGTATCTCATTATTCTTCATATATTTCAAAAACCTTACTGTGATAATATTTCACCCAAGTATCCACAATCGGCTCACAATTTTAGGTCTCGAAAGCCTCAAGGAAACCAATTAAAAATTATACTTGCAAATTAAGGTTTCTCGGTTATTCACGCACATGTTCCAAAGTGCTCATATGATTCCCAAGAAAAGGGGTTCTCATTGTAGTGCGCAAAAATGTGATTGATCTGTATGTAGAATCATGGTTATTTGATTTCCATTAGGAGTATTTCAGGTATATTAGATAATAACAAATGAAAGATTATGTCATGCCTGCTCCATTGAAGTATACATATTTGATGTGAATGATTAAATGTCTACGTTGATCCTATAAAATGAGCGTTGTACCAACTCATTAGCAGCTTGAGTAAATTATCAATAATATTATGTCATTTATGGGTTGGCTTGTGATAGGAATTTGTCTTCCACATAGCAAAACAGCAAGAACAAGATAAAACATAGGAAAAATCAGCAAGAAAGATGTTTATCTCATCACAACAAACCAAGTACAAGTTGATCTACTATTCAAGAGGTAGATCGACTCTCCACAAGCCCTAGGCGCCGCTAGGAACAACTCAAAATACAACTACAGTAAACACATAACATGCTCAAATAAAACAACCCTACTAACCCTCGTATAAACCTTTATACTTCTCTCCTTATTTTGAATTCAAATCGGCCCAAATCCCTTAATAAATACCCCTTACATCTTTCCCAAAGAGCTCCTCCCCCCAAAGCCTCTTCTCCAATAGATGATAAAGGAGGTCTAAGGCCCTACAGGAGAGCAAAAAGGTTATTGATTTGTTGACAATACTCCCCTTCTAAAAAGTCACCTTTTCCTTAAGGTGTAAAGAGAGAAACTGCTTCTGGATGGTATTGTAGGGCTCTCATGTCGCCTCATACTCTGGTAAATCTTCTCACTTGATCAACACCTCCCCGATCCTCTTGTCTCCTTGGCACACCCCTTTCACCTCCAGTGGTTATAATATCACTTCCATATCCTTTGATGGTGAGGCTGGTAGTATGGGAAAGGTTTTGTGAGCTCCAATGGCTTGTCTCAATTGCAATACATGAAATAGGTATGGATGGCAGAGGTCAGTGGAAATCATAGGCGATATACTACTGCGCCAATGTACTCAACTATTTCTTAGGGCCCAAAGTAGTGGGGGAAGAGCTTCTCATTCCTTCGTTGAGCCTAAGTCCTTTGTCTGTAAGGTCGGATCTTCAAGTAAACCCTATCCATAACCTCAAACTGCATGTCTCTCCTATGTCCATTTGTCTGCTTCTTAATGATTTGTTGTACTCTCCATAGATGTTCCTTCAACTCTGCCAAAATTCAGTCTCTTTCTTCATGTATTGCTCCACTTATGACACTAGCGTGTTGCCATGCCCATAATGTATTAGATGAGGTGAATCTTTTCCATATAGGATTTTAAACTGTGTTGTCTGGGCTACTGTATGATATGAAGTGTTGTACCAATATTCTGCCTAGGCTAACCACTTGGCCCACATCTTTGATGTATCTGATAACAAGCAATGAAGATAAGTCTTCACATTGTGATTCACCATCTCCGTCTAGCCATCTATCTAAGGGTGGTAACTTGTACTTCGCTTCAAGATACTCCATTGCATCTTGAATAACTCCCTCTAGAAGTGGCTCAAAAAAACTCTGTCTCGATCGTACATAACGGCCTTAGGCATGCTATGCAAATGGACCACCTCTTTAATAAATGAGGCTGCCACCGACATCGCTGTGTATGGGTGGCGTAAGGAAATAAAATGAGCATATTTGCTCAATCTGTCCACCACCACTGGAATCACAGTGAAGTTCTAATCTAGGTAGTTCTTCAATGAAGTCTATAGTCATCTCTTCCTATATCTTCTCAGGTAATGCTAACGGCTGTAAAAGACCACTTAGAGTCATGGCTAGTTATTTGTGTCTCTGGCACACATCACAACTAGCCACCAACTCCTCTATATCCTTTCGCATGCCCACCCAATGTAGTTTCGCTGCCATTCTATGATATGTTTTCTGAACTCCTGAATGTTCCCCAATAGTTGCGCCATGAAATTCCTATAATAAGTGAGGGATGTGTGGTGATGTCCTCGACAGTACAAATCGTCCATGGTATAGCAACTTCTGACCCTTCAAGGAGTAACCATGATGGCTATCCTTGTCTCGCAGTAAGTCTCTTCTGATCTTACTTAGCTCCTCATCCTACTCGGTCTCACACCTCTAGGCCTCCCAATCCAACACCATGGGATCAGATAGAGCCATAACCCGAGGATCTTTACTATGCCTGGAGATAGCATCTGAAGCTTTATTTTTCAGCCCGGGATTGTACTGGATCTCGAAGTTATAACCCAACAACTTGGAAAGTCAGCGTTGATGCTCCTCTAGTACCATCCTCTGTTTTAACAGGAACTTCAAACTTTTCTTGTCAATCCTAACTATGAATTGTCGCCCCAATAGGTAAGGTCTCCACTTCTATATTGCTAATACTATTGCCATCAACTCTCTTTCATAAACTGGTTTCAGCTTGGCCCTCGCAGTCAACACCTGACTAAAATAAGCTATGGGTCTTTGACTCTGCATGAGAACTGCTCCCAACCCAGAGCCTGATGCATCAGTCTGCACTACAAAGGGTTGATTGTAATCTGGTAGTGCTAACACAGGGAAACTCGTCATGGCTTTCTTCAGCTGCCCAAATGCATGGGTGGCAACCTCCCCCCATTTGAAACTAACCATCTTCAATTGCTCTGTCAACGACCATACTATAAAGATGTATTCCCTCACAAACTTCCTGTAATACTCGGTTAGTCCCAAAAACCCCCCAACTCCTTCAGGGTTTTGGGTAAAGGCCACTCGAACATAGCTTCTATCTTTGAATGATCTGTAGCTACTCTTGATTTAGACATCACCCTTTGTCGTGCAAAAAAACACTTCTCAAATTGGCATACAACTGATGCTCCTTCAATGTTACTAATATGACCCTCAAGTGCTCCACATGCTTTGTCTCAGAACAACTATACACCAAAATGTCATCTAAGAAAAACAATAAAAACTTGTGGACGTCTTGGATCTGATGTACATGGCTTGCTACGATTTTCGTAAATGTATTTAGTGGTGCGTTTTGATAAATTTCTCATCATTAATCAGCCAAATGTTAATCTGATGAACTAAATCTGTCCTATTTCTTCTGGCTATAGCCTATGATAGAAGAGTCCTTTTGGTATGTGGAACCAATTACTTGCTTATGTTGAAGATAAAGAAGAAGATTTATTCTTTTTTTAATGACAGTTAGAACGGGCAAATCTTTCTTTTGTTTTGTATTCATAATTTGTATTGCATTTCATCTCCATAATAATCACCGTAAACCTACCAGGTGAATGCATTTACCTGCCTTTTTTTTTATTTGCTTGGCAGTGGTGGGAGAAAAGTGATTGGACTGGATACAAAGAATTAGGTATGGCAAACAGCAATTTTTTTTTTTTTTTGGCAGAAGTTGTTTGAAGAGCATTTGATGCCCGCAAATTATTGCATTTTATAGAAAATTTAATTTTTATATCGAAGTAATTCTTGAGCAACAACCTTTTGTAATGTTACTTTGTAGCAATTGTAGCTCTTATACCAGACACCATTCTAAGTAAAAAGTTAAATGGCGTTAGTCATTCTGATTTATTATATTATTGTTTCTCAAATTCTGAAAGGTGGTATGCATTGTAAAGCTTCCTTGTCTAAAATTGTGTTATTGGGATACCAACACTAATTATTATGATAATTGTGAAAATAGTAGCTTTACTTTTATCATTTGTTGTCTCATTTATCTTTGCTATTGTGATCCTCGTGTTGTCTAACTTTCATTTGACGAAAGGAATTGGAGAGAATTGGTGATATTTTATTCAAATATTTGATAGGATTTGTACAATCTTAGGAGAGTTTGTAGTAGAAAACATATAAAATTAGGGAATAATAACTACAATAGTCGATGGATTGATAAGTTGATAAAATTATAGTTACAAAATAATTATAATAGTGACGTATTGATGAGTAGGCAGTAGGGATTAATCTTGCAAATTTAGGAAGCCTTTTCAATTCCTATGTAATTTATATGAATGAATCAAGTCTTCTTTTGCACTATGGCCAGCTGACTCGTAAGTGCTATCCATAATTGCTTTACAAATTGTAGAGTGACGCTTCTCTATTAATAATGAATGAAAGCTTTCTTTTCCATAATGGAATTTCATTTATGTCATGTATTTGTGTTTATGTGCTCAACATTTATTTGGAGGAATTTTTTATAATGAAATTCTATATCATTATAGGTGCCTTATGCATTGCCAAGAGCTTATGACGTCTTTTGGCATATTTAAATTTCCATTGCTCATTGTTATCCCAATTTATTTTTCATGAATATTGATAAATCATATTATACACTCATATTCTTGAGGTTATGTAATGGGTAATTCCTACATGATTCTCTGAAACACTTGTCTTTATATCTCAAGTAAATATTTTTAACATTTGAGCAATTTTTTGACATACTTATCTACTTTATTTTACTAGGTGCAGAGAAATCTGGAAAAAATGCTGATGGAGATTCATGGTGGGAGACATGGCAAGAAGTTCTCTACCAAGATGAATGGAGGTTGAGTTTCTCAAAACATTAAAATTCAAACGTTGTATTGCCTACATATGATATCATTATTGTGTCTAATACAAATTTCATGTGAAATGCCTAGTCATATACCCATGATCTATTTTGTGAGAGGGTTAGTTTTGATGATGTTTATTAAAAATACTTGACATAAATACATCTGAAAGGCCCAAACATATTAACAATTGCTTGAATAAAGAGTCAAGGTTATCAAATCTAGAGAAATATGAGGATTGAAAGTTCTGATAACTTCGGATTCTCAAATGGCGAAAAAAAATTTTAAGACATCTTGGTCTGGATAGTTGTAAGAAACTCGTAGGACTATACAAAACATTTTAACTTAATGGCTCATTTAAGCATATGTTGTAAATATATAGCTCTTTTTAAGTTATTTACTAGCATAAATGTCCCATGTTTAGATGTAAATGTTTCTACCGTCCTCACCTAAGGTAATTTTTGCCTCAGCCATTGCAATTTTCTAAACGCTTAAATTCCTCTTTCTTTTCTCATTCTATTACTGTAATTGATGATAATTCCTTTGTGTATGAAATTATGAAATTGGCGAGTATTAGTGGCTTGAGACCTGATGAGTTAATTTTAGTTTTCATAAGGCCCTGATCGAAGATTATAAAAGGGAAAAAATCATTTTATTTTATTTTTCTAGTTTTTTTCCCTAGTTATGTTTCCTCGACAATGATACCAATATGAAAAACAAAAATTATGTAAGTTTGCGAAAATAATTTGCTCATATATCCAGCTGACTGAAGTTTTTCTATGGAATGCAAGCTTAGGTATTATCTTTATTAGAGGATAATTAAAAATCATTATCTATCATTATATAGTTTCCTTAGTTATTTTTCTACATCTCATCTTATAGAACTTATCTATTCTTGCCTGTGGTCCTCTCCAATCAATTCTTATGATAATAGTTATGGTTATATCATATTTGTTTATCACTTCACTTGCTTCATCTAGCTTTACCACTTAAAGCAAAACTCCAACATTTTCTCTTGTTTCACCACCTTTAAATCTTTTGTGGAAAAACAATTCCAACAACCCATTATATCACTCTATACAAAATTTTAGTGGTGAATAAATGGCCTCTCAAATCCTTCCTTGCCTCTATAAGCACCCCCACTTCACCACACCTCCCTACACTTTGGAACTAAATGGCCTCTCAAAAAGCATCATCATCACCTTGTTGAAGTCGGTCTTACGCTTCTTCATTTTGCTCATATACCACTTTCTTTTTGGTCACATGCTCTCTCCACCATGGCATAACTTGTTAATCACATGGCATACCTTATTAATCATGTGCTAGCTATAATTCTCTCCATAAAATCCACATTTGAAATATTATTTGCTATACCCCCTAAATATGCCAAACTAAATGTCTTTGGGTGTGTCTGCTATCCCTGGATTTGACCTTATGGAACTCATAATAGTATCTTTTATGTTATTTTGAGTTTGCAAGGGAGTATTATCATGTCTAAAGTATTACATGTTTTGAAATTTTTAATATAGGAATTTGCACATATTTGCTTGCAGAATGATAATTGAGGAAAGGTGTACTACTTTCTAGTTCTTTCTCTTTTCTAATAAGAATAATGAACGACAATGATTTGGATGCAGATAATCCAAAATGTTATGGTTTCTAGCATCCTTTTACTTACTATTTGGTCTTGAATGTGACCTATGAAAGTCCAAAGAATATTCTTTTAAGTTTTTAATTGCTTTTTGTTTGTAGGCGCTTGATTCTGTTGACTCACTGGTCATGTGATCGCTATGACAGTTTGGTTCTTAGCATAACTACTACTTCGTTTTTAAAATTGACTCGGTTACTTTTTTTAAGTAGAATTGAAGAGAACATGCTTCATACTATATTATGATGGCATTGGGGTCCACAATAAAAATACAAACATAATAGAAATATTGAAATAAAAAATAGAAAGAAAATTGGAGCATAGAAAAAAATTGAATAAATATAATAAAAGAAATTAAATTAAAGTGATAATTTAAATAAATTAATCAATATGGATAATATATGGATAATATAGTCTATCATGCGTGTAACAAGATAAAAAATAAGATAAATAAAGAAATAATAAGCGACTAAACACAATACGCAATAATCAGAGATGTTTTTTTGTATATATCACAATCTTGATCTTTTCCCTTCCTTTATTTGCCATACATTGTGTAGATACTAATAACTTTTGCCGATTTTTTATTTTTAGGTTTATTATTCTCTAAGTTGTCTGATGACCAAATCTAACTTATTTACAGATATAACTTCAATTTTTTGATATTTTCAATTCAAAATGGGATGGATTTATTAATTCTCTCCATATTTTTATTCTTACAGAAGCGTCAAACTTTTTTTCCTAATTTTTAAGCTTGCTATTAATAGCCATGTTATTAGATCATAATTATAGGCTCAGATGCAATTGAACCTGACAAATCATGAAGCAATATCTCTTCACGTGAAGCACTTCCATTGTCAGATCCTTCATGTGTTTGTTAATTTGTTATGAGTGTACCTTGACCTTCTTGGTGGTTGCAGTAATCTTGCAAGGATAGAGAGAAGTGCTCAGAAGCAAGCAAAATCTGGTTCAGAAAATGCTGAATGGTATGAGAATTGGTACGTCTAAGTTATCGAACTTTCACTATTAATTACTTTGTTTTAAGGATGTCTTTTTTCAATGCTATCTTAATTATAAAATTAACTTATTTCTTAGGTGGGAAAAATATGATGCTAAAGGTTGGACAAAAAAAGGAGCTTACAAGCATGGAACCCTTAATGATCAATCATGGTGGGAAAAGTGGGGGGAAGAATATGATGGCAGAGGATCAGTAAACAAATGGTCTGTTCATTGTCATTATTCTTTATAGTTTTCTGTAATTTACTCGTATTTGTTATAAAATTATTCTTTTATGGATGCTATAAGTTAGAAGATGAACATGGTAGATGTTTCTCTATATGAAATCTAGCAATTTTCGATGGCAAAATCTGTCGGTAAATAACAAAAATCCGGCAACAATGGCAATAATTTATTTTTTGGGCGGATTTCATTTGTAGACAAAAATCTCCCTCGCAACACTTGTTGCCATTCAAAAAAAACTTTGGAAAAAGTTTTTCATTAGATTTCTGGTGGAAGTTATATTGGAAAGGACAAGGAAGAAAGAGAGTGTTGTTAGCCTAAAAAATTCGTTGGTTAAGAGGTTACCTTGTGGAAATTCTTCCCAAAATTTTCAAGCCAAAATTTTCATGAGTCTGCCAGAAATTCTGGAAAACAACCCTCGTCGGCTCCATTCCCTCTGACATACCTTGTGAAAAATTCGTTAAGGATCATAAATGTATCATCCTTAACGATGAAAAATCTACCAAACACTTGTACAAAAAATCTGAAAAAAAAAGTATAATTTCTAGAATTTAATCATTCAAATCATCACAACATATCATTTCATCACAGTATATTATTTCATCATAGCAGAATACAATAGAAAGTTAAGACATTTTAAAGCATAAATATTGATTATGAAATTGAAATTAGCTTGTATCAATTCATTTAAAACATTAATGTATAAATGATTGTCATATTACAAACATTAATTATATTTTTTGTAAAGCCATGTTGTGATGTGTTAGAGGACTGGGCTTCATAAGCTATGCCCTATGTCCTATGAGCTTAAAACAAATTCTCCCATTATTCTTTTGTCCTGCTACTTGGGTCCATAAACTGAAGTCTACTTGTTGGGTTAATCCATTTGATGTTATCTCTTCCTACAGATGTTTGACCCTATGCATCTCAAAGACATGTATGCTCATTTTATAATAGATTAAAGTTAGCAATGATCATATACATTTCAATAAATTGTATTTTTATTAAAATGTTTCTATACTTATGTAAACTTGTAGAGATATACTGTCAAACCTTTTTTGGTCCTCTTCGTGTTGGTAAGTGTGGGCATGCAAATCCAATGGGTTCTCTTCCCCAAATATCCTTCTATTAAAACATCTTTATATATATATATTATATATATATATAATTTTGTTTAGCCATCTAAAAAATTATGATGAAACTGTGAAAATTATGATTTAAATATTATATTTGCATGCATATAAGTATATGCTTAAATTATTTATCTTGAATTTGAATAATTCTTGAATTAAAAAAAAGTTATGTTTCTTTAAATAGATTAATAAATCTAGTAAAATATGATGAAAAAAAATTTTCTATTGCATTTAATACATTACATTTAGACTAGTATGGAAAAGTGTCCGATCTATTAATCAATTCATTCTTTTTTATCTTGCAGGACTGATAAATGGGCAGCTCAAGCTAACCTAGGCACCAAATGGGGAGACAAGTGGGAGGAAAACTTTTTTTCGGGCATAGGGTCTCGCCATGGGGAAACATGGCATCTATCTCCTACTGGTGAACGTAAGTCTGTGCTTTTACATGATTTATAATAACACGTCAAGTAAAACATTTACTTGCCCCTTAACTTCTATGCATTTTATGCGGTTTAACTTATTAACTTTTTAAAGTACTGTTGTGGAGAAACGGATCTTCATTTTAAGCATGTTATTGGAATGTGATATTCCTTGTTCACTTCTACTGATGTATAGAAGAAGATATCCTGAAAAATTTGTTTACATTTATTCTTATTTTGGAGATTTATTGTTCGTATGTGATCAAAACAATTAATTTACTCTTATAACAAAGCAACGACTTGCTTTAGATTTTGTAAATATCCTACACTACATTACACATGAAAAAAGGATCTCTTATTGTTCTTTCTGTCTTAGACGATGAAAAGGAAACTCTTCAAATAATTGTAAGTTATACATTTGTTTCTTAATTATGCTTTTGTATGCCAAACTACACCAGCAATATGCGTCATCCGTAACATATAAACATGCATGTGCATCGTGTGAGTTACAAAATATATCTAATGTCCATACCTTCATATATATATTTTTAAAACTATTTTTAAAATATGATTAAGTCCATACCTTCAGATATAAAATAGATTTTCTTAATGATTGGGGTTGTTCAACATACCTTCTTTTTATCTTGTGCTCTTCTTAATCCTATCCACGCTTGCTATTTCTCTCTAGTTTAAGCATGTTTAAATCCAGAACAATTGCTTCATGTTTGATTAATCTCAAATAAGTTTTTTAGAGCCCAATCACTTTAAAGGTAGTTTCTATCCAGACTGGAACTCTAAGAGTATATTTTCATTTGCATTCTGGGAGTGATTGTGATTGGATATGATCCAAGCCAAACTACAATCTTGAATGAAAGATGACGCTAGGAGCAAGAATAATGCTTCATCTCAATTTATGTTGGTTGACCCGAATTAGCCTTGATGCAAGCCATTATTTATCCTAATTCAGTTTGGTTCACAAAATTTGACCTCCATTTGCCTCAGTTAACTTAAATGGTTTGAAACTCATGGCCATAAATGAAGAATATGCTAGGCTTTTATGTAAAGCTTAATACTAAGGCCAGTGCATATCAAAATAAATGCCGAGGCATTTGAGATTTTTTAGTCTCCTAAGTGGTTTATAATGGCATATCTATAATCACTCATTGAAAATCTAAAATGATATATCCAATATGTTGAGCACGTTATTTAGGGTCTTGAAGGACAAGAGTTGATATATATATATATTAAGGCAAGAAATTGAAATAGGCAATTACAAAGAGATTGAAAAGTAACGCACTCCCTCTCTAGTCTCTTTCTCAAAATTCTAAAGTTCTTTTAAGTACTCTCAAAAACTCCATTTTAGCCTCTCTACAATCTTCCTGAAGGAGAATGTTAATTTGAAAGGAGGCAGGAAAACTCTGTTATGAGAAATCAAGAATTTGATCCAAAATTGGTGACATAATTATGGCACGTATTCTGAAAATTGATGTTCGGATGTCACTTGAGCTACTTGGCGACAAATCATTCGTCAAAAGAGCTTCATGGCTCTTGGTAGATGTCCTTCTTCAGAAACATGGCTCCTCTTATCCTAACTCCAATTGAAAACAATTGAATCCTCTTAGGAACATTTCGATCATCGTTCTTTGATTTCTGATTTCTGGTTGACCTAATTACCATTCTGGTTGAATTCAAGTTTAAATTATCAACCCAACTATTATTTGGTTTGAGTTCAGGTTGACACAAATAACTTGAAATAACTTAAAATTAACTTCATTATTATTCAAGCTCCGGTTAGGTGGATTTGAGTTTTGTTAATGTTTAAACAAGTCATGTTTGAGCTAATTAGATTGTGTTGATTCAAAAAAATTTATGATCTATATAATAAATTGATTAGACGGGTTGGATTTGAGTCAAATATCTTGGCCATATAATAAAAGCGTTGGGTTCAAATCAGGCAAATTTAGTTTGTTTCAGTTTTAACTTACAGATTTGTTGACTACTATACAGTATTTATTTTCTTTTACCTTTCAATCTACTCTTTATACACACATTGAACTGATGATTATATGATTTCTTTAATCTCTCACACACACGCACCGCATATTCATCTGATGGATATGTTATCTCTTTAACGAACATTGATGATCTACCTTTATTGTTTTTGTTCTGAAGAACATATAATCAAATAACTAATTGTTCTGTCAAATGCCTTAAATCTCATATAATACTACTTTCATTTTAATGCTTCGATTATTAAAGTTTTTCCCCCTATTTTCTGTTAGAGCAAAAACATATCTTTTGAATGGTCTTCTTCTTTTTTATTTATTTTCAGGTTGGTCAAGAACCTGGGGTGAAGAACACTTTGGAAATGGGTACGCCCAGTTTTTTATCCGATAAACATAGTGACATTGTATTATCAACGTGGAGAGATCTTGTTGTTAAGCCATCATTAGTCTTCTGAATGTAATTTCTTTATTGTATTCAACTGCTATTTATAGGTTTTATGGTTACAGTTGCATGTACTGCACAACCAGATGCATTCTGTCAACTATTATAATATATTCTTTAACTACCACAACAACAACAACAACATCAAGCCGTTATCCCACTACGTGGGGTCGGCTATATGAATCCTTTTTCTCCATTGTGTCCTGTTAAAAGTCAAATTCTCATTTAGATCTAATAAAAAAGATCATTTCTAATATTTTCTAACCAAGTCTTTTAAGGTCTACCTCTATCTTTTTTAACATTGATCAAATCTAATACTTCTACTCTCCTAACCAGGTCATCGAAAGGCCGCCGTTTTATGTGACCAAACCATCCAAGGCGACTCTCTCTAATTTTATCTGCCAGTGGAGCTACTCCAACCTTTTCATGTATATGCTCATTTTTTATCCCGTCTTTAAGAGTAAAGCCACTCATCCACCTGACCATCCTCATCTGCAAGACTTAACTTAATATATGCTTCTCTTTTAATGGTCAACATTTTGCACCATAAAGCATTGCAGGTCTAACCACCATCTTATAGACTTTTCCCTTAAGTTTGAGTAGTACTTTTCTATCACACAAGCCCGATGCATTCCTCTACTTCAATCATCCAACTTGAAATCTACTAATAATATCCCCATAGACCTTTTCTATCATATAAACCCAAGATATCTAAAACATGTACTCTTATTATTTATTAATGACTTGATCGTTCAAAACCACAAACCTTTCACTAGATCTATTACTATTAAAATTGCATTCCATGTATTTGGTTTTAGATCTACTCAAGCTAAAATCTTTAGACTCTAAGTTTGACCTCCATAATTCAAGCTTACCTTCAAGTCTCTCTTCAACTCCCTCTTTAGTCTTATCAACAAGAAGAAAATCGTCAGCAAAAAACATAAACCATATAACATCCTCTTGCAAATCTCTAGTAAGAATATCAATGACTAAAGAAAAAAGATATGGGCTTAAGGTTGATCCTTGATGTAATCCAAGTGATGTTTTTTTTTTTTTTTTTTTCTCTTGCAAATCCTATTTTAAGTAATGTTTTTTTTTTCTCTTTTCTTATTCTATTCATGTTAACGTGAATGTAGCATGTATCACCTTCACTGCTCTTCTGTCTATTCTCCTTGGTCAGAAATTTGGAGATTCCATCCATAATGTCAAATTCTATTACTGTGCCATATGTTAATTTTCTGCACGGATATGCTTTTATGATACTAAAGAGCATTTATTCTTTTTGCCTCTGTTTTGTGTGAGATGTCTGCTGGTTGCAGGTGATAGGGTCTTTAATCTGTTTGACATTAAGATCTCAGATAAATTAGAGCATCTGTCTTGAGAGAGATTGTTTATCTAACTGAAGCTGTCTTTGTTGAAATGTAAATGTTCATTAATAATGCACTTTGAAAGTTGTCTTATCATTGATTTGTCGGTTTATCAATTACAATTTATAAGATGATTAGGAGCATAGCTTTGTTATTATATTCTCATTGTTTTCAAAGTGTGAATATAAATTCTGCTTTTTGCATGATTTACTCATTATCATTAGCCTTACCCCAAATACTTGGGTTCATTCCTATTTATTATTTATTGAGATGTTAAATCTATTTTACATTTTTTATGCATTCTATCCGTATTATTTTTATCCACCTCTTTTGACTTCTTAAGCTTTTCACATTAATTTTATTAACTCATCTTATTAGTTTATCTTTTACCCTCTATTGTACATGCTCAACTCATAAGGATTATTTTTGAACTTACTGGACTCAAATAATTATCTATAGTTGACTAAATAATTCAGGATTTAATAAAATGGCATCAATACTCAGTTATGCTTTTATGTAATTCATTATTGGACAACAATGACAATGCAAATAAGCATGTTACCTATAATAATAATTGAGTGGTAATATTGAAATGCTGTAAAAAAAACAAAGATGAATGTGGAAAATTATCATTTAGGTGCAGCACGTAATGGTTAAATTGACAAGGGAAACGTAATATAGATAGGAAAAGAAGCTTTAAAGAGCTGAGCTAAAACGGCTAGGAGGTGAAAAGGATGCTAAACTACTGGAGGTGTTTAAAATGATATAAATTAACAAAAAATAAGCTCTTGTGACTCTTTATAGGAATTTATTGTCAAGAATGATTAGAAAGCTGACAGTACATGTATGGAATGAAGCAAACCAACTTGAAGAAGAACTCTTCTATAGTTCTATGTTATCCACACCTTTCAACGAATGATGCTTCTAAAGCCTTGCTAATATCTAGATTGGATACTTTTGCTTTATAATTCAGTTAATCGAATCCTCATTGAAATTTAATTAGCATTTCTGAATAATAAACTCAACTTCAGGAAGGTGCACAAATACGGCAAGAGCACAACAAGGGAAAGCTGGGATATTGTGGTGGATGAAGATACCTACTACGAGTAAGATTTTCTATTTGCTTCGATGACTTATCGTTCGAATTTGAAGTTTAATACTTCGTTTGGGACGGTTTTTTTACCGCTTCTTAAAATTGCTTTCTAGTATAAAATTTTTAGTTTTTATACTAAAAAACTGTTTTAAGAAGCAGGAAGAAAGCCATCCCAATTGAAATCTAATTCTGAAACAAATAGCCATCTACCTGCATTGCTTTCTTGTTGTTTCTGAGCCCTGCTTTATTTGCTGTGTTTTTAAGGTCCGAGCCTCATTATGGATGGGCAGATGTTGTGCGTGATTCAACTCAGTTGCTATCCATAAAGCCTTTGGAAAGACCACCTGGAGTGTTTCCTGATATGGATTTTGGGTCATCACCTCCAAGGCCACCTGGTCCACCCTCCACCGGTTCATAGAGTCCCTGCATTTTTTTTTTTAATTTGATTTCAATTTTGTGATGAAAGACTCGTATTGTTTTAGGGGTTAGAATGAACTTTTTTATGATATTTCATTCATATGTTCATTTATTCTTTTGTAGGTTCCTTATGTTGCAAAAAGCTGTGTAATACGTTTTTTTTTTTTTTTTCTCTTTTTGGCTGTAACAAGAACTGCTTTGCTACTTTGAAAGTAATTTATCGTGTAATCTTGTAGAGCACTGCTTTGAATTAAATACGGCAGAGTAATCAGCAGGTGAATATTGTAGCGAGCTGCTCTGCCACTATGGTTTGATAGCTTAATTATTGAAGAATGAGCACTGTGGGACTTTGGCTCAATTATATATGTAATGTGATAATTAAATGAATTGGCGGAGCTTAGAAATTCAGCATGCATCGTATTGGATAACTTTATTTGCTTGTTGAAGATTGTTTTGTCAAATTTGTGAAATTTATCTCATTTATTTGCAACCTCAGTTTTTCAGCCTGTAAGTTTCAAGTAAATCTAATTGTGGGCTTCAAAAATTTGTACCCTAACCTCTCCATGGCCCTTTTCATTCTTCTTCGGGTTGTCGAGGAGAGGTTTGACGCTTAAGTTCCTAGGTTAAATTTTAAAAGGCAGATTGAGTTTTAAATAAAACACTAATGAGAGATTTTACCCTCATTTTGCGCGGACTATGATTTGGGTTCTGGTTTATTATAGGTGTAAGCTCCTATAGTTAATTCTCTCTCCTGATAGTGCGAGGGAACTTTCGATTAAGGCTAGTCATCAAACATAAACATTGTATCCGGTGCATAGCAGCAACATGATTTAAGTACTTGAAAAAATAATATTTAAAATTAGAAATTTCATTATATTGTTCTTAAAGTAGATGGTGGGGGGAAAGATGATGAACTCAATTAAGATCTCATGGTTATGTCGTTCTAGGCCATCGTGGTCTCTAGTCTACTTGGTCAGAAGAGTTAGTCGACCCAACCTGACAAAAGGATTATTATTGGCAGACATATGTTGCTTTGTTTAGGGGTATCATGTAGACTTAGGGTGAATTCTTGTTTAAGGGTACAAATTTGAATCCATTTTAGCTAGCAAATGACTTTGTGTCCTATCGATTATATCATATTGATTCATTACTCAATGATTTGAAGTCGTTAGGGAACATATGAGCTCTGACTATGATCGTAATATAATAGTTTCATTTAGTAGCAAAATCCCTCGATCAGAGAGTACAAGTCATAACAGTTTACTTGCGGTGTCATTTGGCGGCAAAATCACCGGTTAGATGATGCATGTCATGTCCTTCTAGCAAGATATGAATTGAAAATGAATTCTAGTGATATTCTCGACTAGACATTTGCTTTTTTTGAGCTAAAGTAATTTTCATATATGTCCACTTCAACAAAATGTATCGCAAGGTGAATGGATATTTTGCTTTAAGTATTTTGTGTTTTATTTTAATTTTAAATATTTTAGATTTTTTGTATCTTTGAGATTTTGAATTTTTATGGGCATTTGGGTAACATTTTTAAAAATTTAGAGTCCCTTCCGTTTGAGATTTTATGTTAACACGGCCATCAACGGGGTTTTTATAGGCAATTTTATTTTTGTTGATTGAACCTTGTCAACTCTATTAATTTACTGACAGATGACCAGGTTCGTATCTAACAAAGTTAGTTGTCTATGTTCGATAAAAATGCCTAACTATTATGTAGATCTAAATATCAACTAATTATTAGAATGATGTGATTTGTTATGGTTTAACAACTAGGTGAATTTGATTTATTTTGATATCAAATATACATAAGATATTACTATTAACTTAATAAAATGGTTTATGATATAACATCTAAAAGAATTTGGCTTATTTAAATCTGGGACCTCTATGTTTAGATGCAGCCTAAGCAACTAAGTATAGTGATCTAAAAATCTAAGTGAATTTTGTTCACTTAGGCAAGAAGCACAAGTATTCACATAGGGTCTAAACCAACATATTAAATGCATTGATTTGACCTAAATACATGATAAAATGATTTAACATAAAACCCAATACAAATTTTCTTAGAAAATAAAAGTATGTGTTAACAAGGTTGAATGCATAGATTTGATATGTACACCCAAAATGATTAGATGATTAGCCTTATAACTTCAGATATGATCGGCATGTTATCAGTGTAATTAAGATTAACCATTTGTATTGCTCAACTCATACATATCTTTCTTTCAACATGTTTTGTGACTCCCTCTTGTAAATTTGCTTTCTTGGTACTATGAACCTTCAACATTTAGCAAACAACTTGATATCGTAGAGATATATTTATTGACCCCTCCTTATCAAAATTGTTAATTTAGCCTTATCAATAACTTAGTGTACTAGAGTTGTCAACTCAACTTATTATAGGTAACTTGGGTTTCTCCTAATTAGCTCCTTCTTATGGCTTCTCCCCATGAAGTCAATGTCTCTTCATACCTTCCCTATGGCACCTTTCCCATAGATCGACATACTAAGGATATCAGCTTCATTCCATTTCCAAGAGAACTCACCATTCTAGAGTAATCCTTCTTGATGTCTTGTTGACAACTCAACATACAAGAACAATCAACTTATTAACTTCTCAATAAACTCATCAACATCCAGCTCCTAGGCACTTTATAATAGTTGATATCTAAGAGCTACCAGCTTGTCAATCTCCTTTTTGTTAAGTTGCCAACAATATCATTGCCTTCTCGATCGCCTTCTTAGTAAGTCGGCAAAGTTTTCTTCATAATTTGGTCTTCTCGACATTAAAGATCTCAACTTAGCTCAATGTACATCTTTTTTGGTCAAGTGTTGACTTCCTTCTCGCCAAGTTATGAACACCTTCTCCGTGCTTTTCTAGCAAGTTAGAGCATCTCCAACCGAAAATCTCATTTTTCACTCCAAAATGCAGTGAAACTCAAAAATGTCATGATTCATCTCCAATATAATTCCATTTTGCGCGCTTCTGCGAAGGTAACCGTATTTCTCCTCTTTCGCCTTTTTTTTTTTGGCAAATCCGGTTCGGTCAGAAAAATCACGTAGGTGAGCAGTGTCACACCAATATTGGCATCGCACTGTTCACCCGTAAGCAAATAGCGGAAGATTTGGTGTTCAGCTAGAGTGTTCGAACGACGTCATACACATGTTTAATGTTTGGTTGGAGATGCTCTTAGTGATGCTTTCTTGAAATCCAATAATTTCTACATGACAAATCAATGGCGTGTTCTGAGCGAATCGCCTTAGTGAGTTGCTAACTTCCCCTTTCTTGGTGTTTTATTTGGACATTTTCTTGGTTCTCCCTCAATAAGCAAACCAATTGATATGAACATTTAAAAAAAAATATGCAAAAAAAAAAATCACAAATAAAAAAAAAAAAAAAAATCACAAATAAACAATAAACTATTCCATTAAGAAGATAATTAGACAATTTCTATTATGTCTACACTCTTGATAGAGAGGGGGAGTAAAAATAAATAATAAATAATTAAATAATTATAAAAAAAAAATTATTAAAAAAAAAAAGAGGGGGACTACTTTGAGCAATATAGGGCACTCACTACTAGAAGAATGACAAATAGATTAAAGGGAGCCTAAGCTCCATGAAGAGAGATTCCACATAGTTTTTTCTTGATGCCCTAACTTCTCCAAAGAGGCTTATATATAACCTACAAAAAATCTCTCTTCTTAGAGCTTAGGCATCTTTATTACCTAAGATTTCTTTCCCCCTCTATCAAGAACTGTAAGCATACAAAAAATTATTTAGTAATCTTCTTAATAATGGGATAAGGAACCTTTAACAAAAGATATAGTTGCTTTTCAAACTAACAAAATTAAATGGTAAGGTAAAATTAAATGCTTAAGTTGATGATCAGATTGGTTCTCTAAATTACATCTATGACAACATACCAACTACCTAAAAATTTTTTTTTTTTTTGGGACATTTAGGCCATTTAAGGCAAACTCACACACACAACGCATACACAAAGACTCGAACCCAAGGCCTCTTAGTTGAAAGCCTAAGCTCTCAACCAACAGGCTAAACTTGATATTTACATGCCACAAGGGCACTTATTTTAAGCTCAAGGAAGATGAACAACTAAGAAACAATGATGTCAAATTAAAATTTTAATATATTTTCACCAAATAATGACTTAATAAGTGACTGCTCCATATGTGGAATTATAATAATAATAATAATAATAATAAATTTACATACATACTACTAAATTCTTGACTATGGTAATTGAAATATCCAACAATCCTGTTTTTTGAACATTTGGAATTTGTCCAAATTGAGTGACTTCAATTGTAATTTTTTTTTATTTTGTATTAAACTTTGACCTTTTCTGATAGAGATGTGGATCACAATAGTCTATGACACTTTTACGAAATACCAAAATGATTCTTAATTATTTAAGATATTTATTTTAATCCCTTAACTTCTTAAGTAGGGACATAAAATATTTCACTACAGAACAAATTTGATCCATATTTAAAATGTCAGGAGATAAAATGGATACTTTTACATAATATGGGATTATTTTTGTCTTTGAGAACAAATTGATGGACCAATCTGGTCATTTTCTGCTAAATTTCATGACAAACATTAAGGGCATCCCCAACGAAAAAACTAATTTTTCACTCTAAAATGCAGTAAAACTTAAAAATGCCGTAATTCATCTCCAATCGAACTGCATTTCTTTCTTCTTTCACGCCCTTCCTGCGAAGGTAACAATAGATCTTCTCTTTCGCACGTTTTTCTCTTCATTTGCACTTGTCTTCGGTAAATTTGGCAACCCATTTTTTTGGCATAGGTGAACTATCACCTACCAATTTTGGCATGAGATCTAGAATTTGATTGCAATGAATGGCATACGGCATACGGTGGTATGCAGTTTAGTTGGAAATGGTCTAAGAGGAATGAGAGGCCGAAAAAAAATCACATTTATTGTCTCAATATATATAATAAAATGTAAAAATCAACGTCAAAACATTTAGTACTACTGGAGAAAAACTCACAGCTGAAGCTTGAGACACTCTAGAAATGAAACTGTAACGGACTAACGGGAGCTTTAATTA